TTTTGATTATCAATGCAGGTAAGATAATCCAACTTACATATTTTGAAAAAGCTTTGACTTCTAAATTTAAATATAAGGACAGGTTACTTGGGAAAAAATTCTGCTTTTGTTTCCACAGAAAATAAAAAGCTGTGGGTTCCTTCCAGACTAGTATGGTTTGATGAAGCAAGACCTGGAGAAGCAGTGGCCCAAGTGATTCAACATCTGTAACAGTTAATATGATGCATCCTTACAGACCCTGAAAATTAGTACGTATACAGGTTTCTGAGTTTTTCATGATCCCCATGGTATGAACAGTGCCCCTTAGCAGCAAGAAGTAGTTTGAAAAGAATGACACTCACATTCCCAAATATTGTTTATAAATGCTTGTTTGCATTTATACAGGGATGGTTATTGCCACAGAGTTAAGGTCAATTTTGTGAGTCATATCTAAAAACTTTTTACAAGGAGTGGGTATGTATGGATGAAGCCCCTGAGAAAAATAACAAAAGCCTATAACATGGCCTGAGAGCCAAAGAAATCTGTATAAAAGATTCTATAGAGTAGCAAACAGTTCAAACAAAATTTAAAAAAATAAAAATGGTGGAGATGCTGGGGCCTAGCCCCCACAGGGTCTCTAAGTTGTTTCTCAGCTGATAGCCACAGGTGTATACTGTTTTCTAGTCCTGGCTTACTGCTCCCACATTGCCACACTGACATCAACATCTAGCACAAGGAAAACATGCTCTGTTCCACCTGAGGTTTTTCTAGTGTGTTGTAAGACTATATATAAGACTGCTCGCACCTACAAGAGAGAGACCTCTTAGAACTTGGTAAATAAAGACACTTCTTAGTACAAACAGATGGAAATCTGGTCTTTCTTTTCCTCATACTTTAGAGCTGCTTATGGCATGGGCGCCACAAAGCTAGACACCAAAACACCAAATACTCCAATTAAAAAGAGGGGTGCAGAACTAAATAGAGAATTCTCAGTATAGGAATCTAAAATGGCTGATATACACTTAAGAAAGTACTCAACATCCTTAGCCATCAGGGAAATGCAAATCAAAACAACTCTGAGATACCGTCTCATTCTTGTCAGAATGCCTAAAATAAAAAACACCAATGACAGTTTCTGCTGGAGAGGATGTGGAGAAAGGGGAACACTCCTTGAATGCTGGTAGGAGTGTCAAGTTATACAGCCACTTTGGAAATAAGTATGGAGATTCCTCAGGAATATAGAAATCAATCTACCACAAGATCCAGCAATTCCACTCTTAGGCATATACCCAAAGGATGAACATTCATACCACAAGGACATATGCTGAACTATATTCATACCAGCATTGTTTGTAATAGCCAGAAGCAACCTATATGCCCCTTAACTGAAGAGTGGATAGAGAAAACATGGTACATTTGGACAATGGAGTACTATTCAGTAGAAAAAAATCAATGAAACCTTGAAATTTAAAGGCAAATGGATGGCACTAGAAAAAACCATCCTGACAAACATGGTATGTACTCACTCATATATAGATTTTAGACATGGAGCAGCAGATTGCAGGCTACAATCCCACGGCCAGAGAGTCTGGGAATTAGGGAAGATCCTAAGAGTGATATAAGTGGTACTGGAGAGGGGAATGGGAGGGAATCACTGGAGGGGATTGGGAGCATGGGAGGAGGAGAGAGGTAACTGGGAAAAAGAGAGGGGAAGAATAGGACGGGAGAAGGGGACATGAGGGAACAGGAAGGTTGAGTCAGGGGATGAACAGAGAAGAACAGGATAAGAGATACCATAATAGAGGGAGCCATTATAGGTTTGAAGAGAGACCTGGCACTAGTCAAATTTTCTGAGGTAGACAAGGATGACACCAACTGGCAATCAAAGCAATATTGGAGAGGCTACTTTAAATGCCCTCCCCTGATAATAAGATTGATGTCTACCTTATATTCCATCCTAGAGCCTTCATTTAGTGCCTGATGGAAGCAGAGGCAGACGCCCACAGCTAAACACTGAACTGAACTCCTGGAACTCAGTTGCAGAGAGGCCGAAGTGATGATGAAAAGGAGTCAAGACCAGGCTGGTGAAACACACAAAAGCAGCTGACCTGAACAAGTATGAACTCATGGGCCCCAGACTGGTGACTGAGAGGCCAGCATGGGACTGATCCAGGCCCTCAGAACTTGGGTGTCAGTAAGGAGGCCTTGGCAATCTATGTGGCCTCTGATAGTAGATCATTATTTATCCCTGACCTACAAATGGGCTTTGGGAGCCCATTCCACATGGAGGGATGCTCTCTCAGCCTGGACACATGGGGGAGGGCCTAGTACCTGCCTGGGATGATATGATATACTTTGAAGATTCTCCATGAAAGGCCTCAGCCTGCCTGGGGAGCAGAGAGCGAATGGGGTGGGGGATTGGGAGAATTGGTTGGAGGTAGAGGAGGAGCGGAGGGAGAGAGAGCTGGAATTTACATGTCAAGCAAGCTTGTTTTTAATTTAAATAAAAATGTCAAAAATTTGTCAAAAATATACTATTGAGCTATTGTAGTAAAGTAGCTTTGTATTGGCACAAGAACAGATAAATGGAATCAAATCAAATACCCTGACATTGATCCACAAATTTACAAACATATGATTTGTTCTGACAAAGAAGCCAAAATTGTACAATGGGAAAAAGAAAACATGTTCAACAAACGGTACTGCTATAACTAGATGCTGACATGTATAAGAATGCAAATAGGTCCATATGTACCACCAAATCCATATACCACCACCCAAATCCAAGTATATCAAAGACCTCAATATAAATCCAGTTACACTAAATCTCATAAAATATAAAGTGGGAAGTATCCTTGTCACTTGAGACCCCTTCCTAGTATAACACCAGTAGCACAGACACTGAGAGCAATAATTATAAATGGGACCTCCTAAAATGAGAAGCTTCTGTAAGGCAACATATACAATGAATAAGACAAAGTGGCAGCCTACACAGTTGAAAAAGACTTTCACCAACCCCGTATCTGACAGAGAGCTGATTTCCAAAATATATAAATAACTCAAGAAACTAGGTATTTTATCAAAAGCACTGATGACAACTTAGTAAGGAGAGTATGGGGAGTAAAGGGAACACTTCTCCATTGCTGGTGGGAGTGCAAACTTATACATCTACTTTGGAAAGCAATATGGAGTTTTCTCAGAAAACTGGTAATCAATCTACCTCAAGACCCAGCAATACCTAACTCTTGGGCATATACCTAAAGATGCTCAAACATACACAAGGATATTTGCTCAACTCTATTCATAGCAGTATTATTCATAATATCCAGTACTTGAAACAACCTAGATGCCCCTCAATCAAGAATGGATTTTTTGAATGTAGTACATTTACACAATGGAGTATTATTTAGTGGTTAAAAATGGAATCTTAAAATTTGCCGGCAAATGGACAGAACTAGAAAAATATCATCCTGAGTGAGGTAATCCAGACCAAGAAAGACAAACATGGTATGTCTCAGGCATAAGTGCATATTAGATGTAAAGAAAATGATAACCAGGCTATAATCCACAATCCCTGAGAAGCTAGGAAACAAGAAGTACCCTAAAAGAGACATCATGAATGCTCCTGGGAATGAGAAATAGATAAAATCTCGTGAGTATATTTAGAGCATGAGGATTATGAAGGGGAGTGGGGAGGAGTACATGAGAAAACAGGATGGTTGAGTTGCAGGAGGGACAGAAAGGGAGAACAATGAAAGAGATATCTTGATAGTGGGAGCCATTATGCAGTTAGGGAGAAATCTGGTGCTAGGGAAATCCCTAGAAGTCCATAAGGATAACCCCATCTAAGACTCCAAGCAATAGTGTAGAGGGTGCCTGAACTGGGCTACCCATGTAATCATATTGATGACCACCCTACTTGTCATTGTAGAATCTTCATCTAGTAACTGATAGAAGCAGATGCAGAGATATATCACTAAGCACTGAAGAAGGAGGGATTATATGAGCAAATAGGTCAAGATCCTGATGGGGAAATCACAGGGAGAGCAGACCAAGCTAGTGGGAGCTCACTGACTCTCGACTCCCAGCTGGGGAACCCACATAGGACAGAACTGGGTCCTCTGAATGTGACTGACAATTCTGTGACTTGGGCAGTCTATGGCAGCTCGGGAAATGGACCAGAATATGTCCCTAAAGCATGAACTGACGTTTTTGGAGCCCATTTCCTATAGAAGACTCCCATGCTCAGGCTAGATACAGGAGGTAGGGGCTTGTTCCTGCCTCAACTTGATATGCCAGAGTTTGTTGACTCCCCAATGGAGGCCTTACCATTTCTGAGGAGTGGATGGGGAGTTGGGTGAGGGAGGGAGGGGGTAGCAGAAGGAGGGAAGTGGGGGGGAGAACAGTGGTTGGTATTTAAAGTTGAATAAACACTTTAATTATAATTTTTTCATTTCTCCAGAACATTTGATGTGTTTTTCAGACTCTAATTTTTTCTGTACAGCCATGATGCAAAGTAAGGCAGTTTTTGCATATCACACATCATCTTTTTACCATTACTACTGGTGTCATTAACAGAAACTCACACGACTAAGAGACAAACTGAAGCTCCAGAACTTCTTTCTAACTTTTGTGTGCAGATTCAGTCTTTTCACTTAATCCTGCCCTCAATATGACCTGGAGCAAAAATCCACAAAATGGCATAATGTGTTCTGTATAGCTATTCCTTACAGCATGTATATGTCAGATTCATAATCACCTGAACTGCAAAAACAGAATATCACAAGCACATCTGTTATCGGAAGGAATATGATCATGAGTTAAGACAAAATAAGGCAGCCCCAGAGTCACCTTAACATGCAAGGGTTCAGGGGTCCAGGGGAAAACAAAAAACTTACAAACTTCAGGCCACCTAGAATGTCACCGGGTGACAGACAAAAGAGTGGACAAAGTATGATCTTTGTGGCATAATTACTGTCTATTGGTATTACCTAGACAAATAATGCATTTGAATTACTCACTGTATATCAGCCACACTGAGATTGCCATCATCAAAAGTAAGCAAAGGATCCCGAGAGCCACTGCAATGAGATGTAAAGAGATTAAACATTCATAAAGACATCAAAATAGGTAAGAGAACCCTCACCAGAACCATCTCATGGCCCACTGCTACCCATTACTGGAGCATTTTATGAAACAAATGATGATAACTTTAATGTCTTAAGTAAAATTCTAGAATACAGACTTACTCTTACAGCTGAGGTTTGGGGAACAGTTCAGAAGAGAGGATGAAAGGATCATAAAAAGTTGAGACTCAGGTCATCTGCATGAAAAGGAAGCTACACGCAGAGAATCTCAAGAATATCATAGCCTAAGCAAGACATGACCAGCCATAATATCAGAGGACATGCCGATATGGCCACAGGACATCTCCACATGACCCCAATCCTAGATAAAGAACTGCAGGCAACTGATGACAGCTGAGAGAGAAAATAAATCTCTCCTAGGAATGAGCTTGTAAGTGAATATCTAACACCAAATGGTCAGCGTTAAAACACATGAGAGTGAACAATGCTAAATGGAATCACAAATTACATATATACATGCAAACATGTAACTAGCAATTAAATGGAGAGTAAACAACACAGACAATACATCAAAGAAGTAGAGTGTGGAAATACTGGAAAGGTAACAGAAGGAAGGTGAACAGGATATAATAGTAATGAATTAAAAATGATCAGTAAATTATATGCATATACAAGGGTCATAATGAAGCCAGTTATTTTATATGATTAATAAATTCTAATAAACTGCAAAAAGAAAAGTTTGAGTTTTAGATTTCTAGATGACATACATGATTCTGTTTATACCCTATGTACAGAAGCAGTTCATTCTGACTAGATAATTTTTGCCCAGTCAGCCTTGAACTCTCAGTCTTTCTTACTCAGCCTCATAGGCAACTGGAATGACAAGTTCAAGCTGCCTCATCCAGGTGTACACAGTTTCAAAAGTTCACCTTACAAATTACGGAAGGCATAAACAAGATGCAGGTAGGGAATTCCAGGTGGGAATTAGCAACGCACCAAGTGATCACAACTGAGAACAAAGAGGAAGGAAATATCAACCAATGCCTTTAGAACCTGGAAGGTAGTATGAATATTCTGAACTCTGTAAGGGTTCATCCTTTAAAAGTTCCTAGAAGTCAGATCTATTCTTGTCCATCAATTCTGTTTTTCTCAGAAAAATAAGATATCTAACCTTGAGCATCTGAGGTCTTAGGTTCTAGGGTCCCACCTCTGATTATTACCACACAAATGTAGTAAAAGTGTCCAGTTTAGCATTTACATGTGACTACATTTGAAGGGCAAGAGAAATAGAGAGAAAAGAATTTTACACTTCCCTTCTGACCTGTTGTTGCTGATGGCTGGCATTGAAATTTGATGAAACACATGGAATAACTTGTTTTAGTAAGAACTTTGCTTTTAAAACGAACTTTTCATTTCTTTAAGATTGTATTTCTTGAAAAATCTCAGTGTTTCTTTAGACTGTAGTTAATCCTTTCTAAGGACTTCACATTATACCCATATTTTGATAAAAATAACTGAAAGCTGATGGTTTTTCAAATTCATAAAAATGTATTCCAGGCAGGCAAAGTGGCTCACACCTATACTCCCAGAACTTGAGAGACTAAGCTAGAAGAATTAAAGATTCTGGGCCACACTTTGCTACACAGCACAGTCCTGTCTATTTGAGACCCTGACTCAAAAAACAAAACAAAACAACAAAAACAATAACAATAAAAATCTAACACAAAGCAAAATAAATTATTAGTTTTTCCAGTCTCAAAGGTTAGTTTTTTAAAAGCTTTCAAGTTATCATTCTTCCCTCCACGGTCCTCTATTACCACCTGGCAATCAGCAGAAAGGCTAGGCCAGCTTTCAATGTCTGGTATATACAGTGTGTAGGAGGAGAGCATTCACCTTTTTCTCCAACCTCTCTGCGACCTTGAGTCTCCTCAGTACTGGCTGGATTCTGTGACTCTGAAGAAGTCTCAAAAACTCTTGAGTTTGAATAAGTCACCTCCTGATTATTCATCTTGAAAGGAAGTGATGAAGGTTTAAATTAAAACCTTGTTTTGGGATGATGTCTAGGTAAAGAAAAAATCAAATTGTCCAAGTTTAGAACAGTCAAGAATTTTATGCTGGGGTAGGATAGAAGCTTATTACCTCCTTCAAAGATCTGAATCCTGTAAAGTGTGTGTATGGTGGCTGGTTTCCACAAAATGTGAAAAACATTTTTAACTATTGCCATGCCTGCTCCGCAGCCTGTGTCCGAGAATGTGCGTAGGGTGTCAGGATTCATAACACAGAGACCCATCAGTGGCTTCCAGAAGGCTCCTTAAGAAGGCTCCCCAAGAAGGCTCCTCAAGAAGGCTCCACTTTATTCTTACCCTGGCTGATTATTATGTGCCCTGACTACAGAGGGGGCAGTGGGTGGGTCAGGAAGAGGAGGTTAGTCTTTGGAAAAGGTTGAGGTCAGGGTATTCCTGTGGGCTAACCCTTATCAGGAACTTATTGCTCAGGAAAACATTTCTTATGGATACCGGATTGTTTTCAGTAAACATGTTTTTAGTAAACACTGTCTTACAGCTGCCTGCTCCCAGGCTGATGGGGAAGTGGGCCTCCAGCCAAGATCTTTTGTTCCCACAAACTAGTGGTCACATCAATGATTATTGGGAGGTATGGGAAATTTGAATTTGAATTGCCAAATAAAGGATTGAGTACTAACACAGCCATAAAAATGCTTGACAAAACTGGTGATACCCCAAGTAACAGACATAATTTAAAACTATTACTAATATATCAGATATTTAAAACTTGCTTGAAACCAAATCGCTTTGCATTTAAAGCTTTTGTAAAAGTTGTGATACACATGTGAATATAAAATGATCTTGTTGTTTTTTTACATTTACAAAGTATATGCCTGAAACAATGTCCAAAGAATTATATGAAAAGAATATTATAGGAAGTTAAATTTGCAGATTCCAGATGTTATTAATAAGTCTCTTGAGTAAAAACCAAAATAAATGTATTCCTAACTGTAAAGGATTCCATGGACATGAGCAGTCCACAAAAATCAGGATAGTGTATAATGTTACTCAAGGACCCTATATAAAGAAATTTTTTTCTACAGTTGTACATGCATTTTGTCCTATCACTCAGAGTCAGAGGCAGGAGGATCCCTAAAGCCAGAACATCTAGGTACCAAATTTCCAAATAGCCACAACTGTAGAGATATATTCTGTCTTAAAAAAATATAGAAAGATAGAAAATTTGTCAGTAAGCATTATAAATACTCATTAAATTATTCATTCTCAGGATAGCAATCAGTATACAAATTATTATATTAGAGGTACTTATAATTTACCTTGTGTTTTCATTAAAAATATTTGAAGGGGCAATCAATAAACAGGTAATATTAAAAAGTTGTCGATGGACTCTATTCATGTTTAGTAATTCTAACATATTTTAATTGATGAAATTTTGTAAACTCATTTACAATTTTCCTAATTCTCTAAAAATAAAACTATTTCCTATTATAAAAGTCTACAAAGTGCAGAAGAAACTATGTAAACCACTTGAACTAATTACAAAGAAATTAGTTCTGCTGATCATTATTTTTTATTACATAAAACAAAAATAATAGCGCAGTAATAGAAAATACCTTTCTTGAAGCTTAACGCCAATTTTCACGGCAGACTTAATAGAGTTCTAATATGATGAATTGTCTTTCTTATCTATGTCATTGTCATACTTGCCATTTGTAACTGAACAGCATTTCTCTAGGATAAGTATGATCCTGTGAAAGAGATATCTAAAGAAATCAGAGTAGCTGTTACCTATTCCCCAGACAGGTGGTGATGCAGGTGAAGGGAATCGAAGATGAGGAACAAGTTGTCCTTTCCAGCTCTTTATCTCCTCAGAAGCTCCAAATAAAAAGCAGAAGTGTCCCTTCTGCATACTTCAGCCCCTCCTCTTGACCGAAATGAAAAGAGGAAATTGTATGTTGAGAGCTGATACTGAAAGCATGAGTTATGCATTCGTATACTTGAAATGGTCCCCACTTCATATGCAGCTGAATCGTTTGTAATCAGTATTTGATGACTGCAAGGATGAAGGAAAATATATTTAGAGAAAACACTGCCAATATCTTCAGCTAAAATGTAATGTAACTCTAAAAAGTCATTGGTTACAACAAATGGCTGAGACAGCTCCATATAAATAAGAGGTTATATAGAATAAATGATAGGTTCCAAGGCCACAGAGAAACCCTTTCTCCAAAAACCAAAAAACAAATGGGATGACTAAATTCTTCAGTTCCAAGTTTTAATAATTTTCAAGAACTTTGCTTTTCATTAATATTTCAGGAGAAATATTACTTTGTGTTTTTGAATTGTATATATTGAAAGTAGATGTATATTAGAAATGTCATGAGACGAACACATTTCCGTTTTGATTTTCTTGTTATATACTGAGATACTTTTTAATCCACGCATAATATTTAAAATGAAAGTTGATATTTATCTACATCAGGTGATTTTATTGCTGTCTTTTCAATATGGCTGGACAAACACAGGGTCTTATACATGTCTGCAAGTGCTATACCTTGAGTGACATGCTCACTCTTTAAGGGTTTGTTTATTTTCTTGGTAGCTTGGTTTGGCCTCTTGGTTATGTTTCAGACAGGATCCTGTTGTATACCTAATAGTGTCCTGAAGTCACTGTGTATCTCAGGCTGGATTCAAACTCACTCTTCTCCTTCCTATCCTCCTCAGGTCTCTGTTACATATATACATTCCTTGATCACTTTACATTATATATGTGTATGGGTGATACAATGACAGCTTCTATATGGCTTATATAAACAAAAACTTACATGTAGCAATACATGACAACACACTGCTGCAATCCCAGGAAGCAGAGGCAGGAGAACACTCAGAAATGCAAGGACAGCTTGGTCTATTATATTGAGTTCCTGACCACCTAAAGCTATTAAGAGAGACCTTGTCCATAAAACACCCCTCTTCTCTGACAGCAGTTGTCATAAGGCAAGTCCACCCAACCCATTCATTCTTCTACAGAGGCCTATCTGAATTTTCCCACTTCACTGTGTGTCGTGGGTTCGCAAATGTTTGGTCTCACCCTAAATGATGACACCTGAACTTCAGATTTGCAAGATCAAGAAGTCTAAGTCCAACCAGCTCTCATTTTGGGATAAATTGCTCAAGCTGTTTGTTACTCTGTTATAGCAACTGAAATGAACGAGCTTGCACAATGAGCTAAATTCTCTATCCCACCATGTCACTAGGAATGGTGGTAGTGTTATTGACATGACAGTAACAGGAAGAGACGAACCAAGGGCACACCTGTCAAAGATTATCAAGGTTAGATTTAGCTCTGAAAAAGACTTCAAGGGGATGGGCGGTGGTGGCACATGCCTTTGTCCCAGCACTCGGGAGGTAGAGGCAGGTAGATCCCTGTGAGTTCGAGGCTGGGCTGGACCGATAGCCTCCAAAACAATACAGAGAAACCCTGTCTCGTAAAAACCAAAAAAAAAAAAAAGAAAAAAGAAAAAAGACTTCAAGGGATTATTTTGCTAGATAAATTGAGGTCGGAAGGTCTATCCCTTGTACCTGATGCTGGGTTCCCAGACCATATAGATGAAGACAGCAACTGAGCACAAAGTCTCACCACTCACTCTATTTCTTGCAACAGATGAAATGTGAGCAGCTGCCTCAAGCTTCAGCTGACTTCCCTACCATGAAGGACTGTAACCTTGAACTGTGAGCTAAAATAAACCCTTCATCCCCTTTGTGGTTGGTGTCCATATTTAGTGATAAAGGAAAAAGAACTTAAGATACTGGGAGGACAGGTGGCTTTTTGTTTGTTTTTGTTGTTGTTGTTGTTGTTTTTTTTAGAATAAAACAGAGACTATAAACGAAACTGAAGACCCTGCAAGTCAACAGCAGTGAGAAACTGCTGTTGTAGATAACACCATAGATGACAACAGGTTTGGCGATCCACATCAAAGTGATCATAGAAAGTTAATTCCATTGAGACATTTTTCTGACTTCTGTCCTCGATGGGAGGCTGTGGTCCTCAGGAGGAACACTGAGCAAGTGCAGAGCACGTGCACATGATTGAGTGTTGCTTCTCTCCTCTCTCTACAAGTCTGTGACACATGCTCAATATCCTTTCCTTCCTCTCTGCGACAGCAGAATGCAAAATACGTTTGGTACCTACAGTGTGCTTGACAAACAAGGACAACAAAGTGAACAGAAACTAAACACAAAGTGAAGACAGACTCATACCGATGTTTCAGTTTAGGAAGAATCAGAATTATACCAATGACTTTCAGAACCCAAAATAAAACAACAGTTGCAGATTATTATGTTTACTACAGACAACCGAGATTCTGGTAAAGTCTTCAAATAAAGACGATTACATTAGAAGATAGAGTACCTTCATAACTAACTGATTGACACCCACACTGCAGTTCTTTGAGCAAAGTACAGTGAAGAAAATGAAAAGTATGGAATTGCATCATAACCACCTAATAAAACAGAAAGGTGAGAAATTTGGAAAATGTATTCCACTTTCCTTAATTTTTCTTCTAATTTCACTTTTGTGCAAAAACCACATATAGATAACCATTAGTATATTTTCCAATATATACTGATATTCCTGGCTTCTTGCTACATGAGCTGCTTTGTCTGGGAAACCTCATCATGTGCTCACTCATTTCCAGTGAGACAGCTGGCCTGAAGCTGTGTATTCAGGGTAATCACACCTCCAACCTCTGGTCACAACCTCAGCCCTCAGCAGTGGTGTTATCATTTCACATCTGCAAGATGTTCTTCCTGCCCAAACTGAGGAGGGTATCTGGAATAGCTACAGTTTCAACCTCTTCACCAGGAGGGACCGCAGTTCTTGGCCAGCTTCCTACCTCGTGGTTCTTTCTTCAGAGGTCAAACTTTGGCAACATTGAACTTCACAGTTCTTGAAGCACGAAAAACAAGAATTAAAAATAAACTCTATATTGAGAATTCCTCTGTCCATAACCACACCGTGTTTCCTCACACTGATAATCACAATTGTTATAATACTCTGCATTATCATGCCTATTCAAATAGTCATTGCTGGACCAGAAGATCTGGGAACAAAAAAAAGTGAAAGAAAGAAAGAAAGAAAGAAAGAAAGAAAGAAAGAAAGAAAGAAAGAAAGAGGAAAGAAAAATGAGACCAATTTTTTGAGAACTAAGTAAGAGTAATAAAAGGACCCCAAAAGATATCTGATGGATATCTGCGTTCTTCCATATTGAGAAAGGGTATCCAACAGCTTGTCTGTCTCTTCAGGCCATGTTCACTCACTACATCACAGATCAAAGACGAGAATCTAACAGCTCTCCAATCAGCTCTACTGCATCCCGCTGGAGTTGGCAGGCTCAGCTCATCCTTATCAAAGCAGTCTTTCTTTTACATTTAATAGTTTTTTCTGATCTGTGACCTCATATAGTTCAGGATGGCCCAGAACTGACTATGTATCTGAGGCAGGCCTGGACTGAAGAGATGGCTAAGCAGTTAGAGATGAGGAAACTGCATTTTTTAAATCCATTTTATTGTGAACCAAAACTGTCTCAGTCATTTATCCATTGCTGGACATGCAATGAGTAGACCAGCAATGATTATGGTTGAGCAAGTGTCTGTATTGTATAATTTACAGTCCTTTATGTATATGTCCATTAGTGGTACAGCTGGATCTTGATGTAAATCAATCCCCATCTTCCTGAGGAAGTGCCACACCACACTGATTTCCACAGTGGCTGTACAAAGTTTTCACTTACAGCAGCAATGAAGACTTCCTAATATACAACATCCCCACCACCATAAGCTGTTATTTGTTTTATTACAAGATGTTTAGTTTTTCACATTGGGGTTTTGGTCAGGAATGTCCCTGAGGCCTCTAAAATAACAGGGATATTGTTCTTCTTTTGGCTTTTCATCAAACTATAATATAAGACATTTTTGTTCTTTGTCTCTTTTAATATTCTTTCCTTGTTCTATATGTTTAAATTATTATATGGTGATTGGATTTTTTTTGATACAGTCTTTTTGATGTTCTTTAAGTTTCTTGTGCCATTACAGGATTGTCCTTATTATGGGGGGAAAAATTTCTTATATAATTTTGTTAAACACATTCACTGGAGTTTTTAGCTGAGTTTCTTCACCAATTCCTACGATTCTCATATTTAAACTTTTCATAGAATCACAAATTTCTTGGATATTTTGTGTTAGGCTTTCTTTTAATTCAACATTTTCTTTAGAAGACTAAGAATATATTTCCTCTATTGTGTGTTCAATGCCTGAGATTCTGTCTTCCACCTTTGTATTCTTTTGGTGATACTTGCATCTGTAGTTCCCTTTTGCTTACCAAGATTTTCCATTTCCAGGATTCCTTTCATTTGTGTTTTCTTTATTGCTTCTATTTCCATTTACATGCCTTGATCAATTTCCTTCTAATGTTTGTTTGACCCCCCCCTTGACTTCCTTGGAATTCTTTTAGGCATTAATTGATTTCTTCCACTTATTTATCGTTTCCTTAATTTCTTTAAGGTATTTTTTCACTTCCTTTTTAGGAACCTCAATATCTCCTTTAAGTCTTTTTCTAGATTGTTTTGTTTGTACTTTGTTGGATTGTTTGGATCTTTCTGTCTAGGATATCTTGGCTCTGATGGTGCCATATTACCCTTTCTGTTACTGATTGCATTCTTATACTATAACCTAGACACCTGGATTTAGGATAATTGTAAGTCTAGGTGTTGATTCCTGCATTTATCTTATTTTAATTAATGTTTTGTTCCTTTGTTTCTCTTTTATATCTGGTCTTGTGGTCTAAATGGCCACTTTGTCTTTAGGGTCAGTAGGGTATCCCTTTTGCGGTTTGGGAGGCCTGGGGTTCATAG